CACTGTGGTCCCGTGTTGCACTTTTGGGCTCATCTCACCCGCATCCTGTTAATGAGCTCAGTGGCTCCAACAACCCAGTGGAAGCTATGCTTTCTGTGTGTGGGGTGGCAGGCTTGGGGCACCTGTGTCAAAAGCCTGTGGCTTTGATCTCCACCGGAGAGGATGGCTGCCCTGTCCACAGCCCTGGAGAGAAGCCATTGCTCGTCACTGGCAATTTTTTTCTTTGCTTTTATTTGTGCTTTTCTTCCTTTTTTTTTTTTTTTTTAAAGACTTTCTATCCTTCAATCCTTGTTTGTCTAAGAGGGTTTTTCTTATTTGGAAACCGATTTGCTTCGGTTTGCACAGAAGCCGTCTCTGGTGTGATGGATCGTGCTGGAAGTCACCCAAGGAGTATCTCTGTTCCCAATTAGAAGTGGAGGCAGAGCTGCTTACGGGGGCCCAGGGAGGTGGCTGGCTTGGGTGACAGCTGCTGCTGCTCTGGAGAGAGTAACGATCCGTGGGTTTATATCCCTGTGTATAAAATCAGGCTAATTTAAAGATGAATTATGTGTGTGTTTTGGACCATTTTCTTTTAATGTGAAAAGTGTGATGGCTCCTGTCAGGTTATGTGGTCCCCAAATTTGTGCAAGGGTCAAAATGAATACACTTTTAAAGACTTACTAAATCCTATATCCAGATGAGGTGTATTAGAATAAAACAATCAATGAAGTCCCTAAGGGCTCCATAAGGAGCGTGTCTAGGAGGGACATTGTGCAGGAGCTTGGACCGGATGCCTTTTTTTCCCGTCACTCTGGGACCTCCTGTGGTCAGGAGCCAGAGAATGTACCCTCTGCTGGTTTGTTGGGAGGGCACTGGTTACTCCACCACCCAGACCTTGCAAACCTTACCCATGGTGCTTTGAGACCTCGGTGTGCCAGTGGTCGGCTAGAATGCTGTCCTGGAGTGGCGCTTGGCCAGGTGTTAAGTAGGCAACATGCAGAACCGTACCTAACGTCCTTCCAATTTTTGGAAGCAAATCATAGTGGATGTTACTTTTAATGCTATAAACCTGTACTGTCCAATACAGTAGCCACTAGCCACATGTGGCCATGCGACACTTGAAATGTGGCTAATCTGAATACGTGCTGTAAGTGTAAAATACATACCAGATTTTGAAGACTTAATGTGTATAAAAGAATGTAAAATATTGAGGTAATTTTTTTTATATTGATTACATGTTGAAATAATAATGTTTTGGATGTATTGGGTTACAGAATATATATTATTAAAATTAATTGCATCTGTTGCTCTTTACTTTTTAAAATGTGGTTACTAGAAAGTTTAAAATTATGTAAGCGGCTTGCATTATATTTCTATTGGACAGTGCTGCTGTACCATTAAAATCAGCATTATTCCAACTTTGATAATAATAACATGTAGCCTCTATAGGGCACTTAGAATATCCCAGGTTCTCTGCATATATGATCTAATTTTTAATCTTAAGTTTTGAATAGAAAAAAACATGAAACAAAAATTGGTAAGCCTCATTTTCCACTCTGTTTCTCACCCTAGTTTTTTTTGTGGGTCTTTCAGAGTTTCTTTATGTCGTGTATTACCTTGTTTGATCCTTACACCAACACTATGAAAGAGATATTACGATCATCTCCATTTTAACACATAAGGAAATGGAGACTTAGGAGCTTAAGTAACTAGCTGATGGTCCCTCAGCTAGTACGTGACAGGCTAGGGTTTGACTCCAGGGTTGCCTGAAAGCAGAACTTCTATGAACCTATTCAATGTTTTGGTCGTTAGGCAAGAAGGATGCCGTTAAGTTCCTCTGTGACCCTGGGACAGCCCCTTGTCTTCCGGTGCTCCGCTGTCCTCATTAAGCGATTGCACTCCAGAAGCCATTGGAGGTCCCTCTAGCTCTTTGCACATAGGGAGCCCATTCCACTGCTCCCATTTTGGTTCTCTTCTCCTTCTTGATTCTGATACTGTGTCCATCTGGGAAAGGATCAGAGGACCAAGAGAGTAGATTGAATTATGGGAAAGCAGGATGGAGGAATATTTAGCCAGGGAGGAAGAAGGAGCAGGAGAAGGAGGAGGAGGAAGTTCACAATTGATGGAAAATTCTGTGTGGGATCCAAACTGTTGTGGAAGAGCGAATACCATATGAGGATGTTCAGATAGAGCAGAGCCCAGAACCATGACACAGACCCACCCTCAGCCTCAGCAAAGGTCTGCCTATGATCTCAAAATATGAAAACTATGGAGAGAGTCTAGGGATGCAATGCAAAGGCACAAAGGTTGGAAAAAGACTTTTCAAAGAAGGACCAAAGAGAGGCAAGATGAGGTCTGTACAACCTAGAGATTAGGTGAATGGGTGCTGGAGGCGGATTCGGGTCAAGGCTGGACTTAGCTCCTTACCACCTGTGTCATATTAAGCAAATTCCACACCTCCCCGTCTTCATCTGTAAAATGGGATAATAACTGTGCCCACTTCTTTGGTGGCAGTGGGGATTAAGTGATACGTAGCAATAACAGCTGCCACATTTTGAATGATTACTACATGCCAAGCACTCTGCATGTACACAAACATATCAATGCCCATTGGGGCTCACCCTGGGCCTGCAAACTGCTAACAGGGGTTCAACAAGTGGGGCCCTTGTCATGACCTTAATGGTGTCTAGGAAAAGATCATTTGGCTGCATTCTTGTTCTGCTGTGTGGCTGTCTGTGAAGTTGCTTAACTTCTCTGAGCCTCAGGTGACCCATTTACAAAATGAGATGGTTAAAGCAGATGATCTGTAAGGCCTTTTTCAGCTCTAAAATGCCGTGCAATTCTGGAAATAGAATTTATTTAGTGTTGAGAAGGCTAAGGGGGATACTAAAATATGAACTTCAAATATATACACATGATTATTATAAGTTTGAGGAATGGTGACCAGCTGTTCTCTTTTGACTGAGAATGGGACATGAGGCAACATGCTTTAATTGTTTTAGATTAGATATTTGGAAGCCTTTTCTGACTTGGGAGAGAGAGTAATATGTCATCGGAGCAGGCTCTGGAGTTGCACGCGCTGAGCTCATTAAAGCAGACAGTTGATGATTTTTCTGACGCTCAACTTCAATGTAACTTCATCACATAGGCCCTCCCTGACCCCCTGGTCTAAAGTAGACCCCCTACCGTATTCTTCCTTCACATTTCTCTCTGTTATTTTCCACTATCACATGTGACACTTCTGCTTGCCTTTTTGGTGAGAAAAATCCCAAAGACTTTATCTCTCAAGGGACTTTAGATACTGTTTCTCCTTCCTACCATCCTCTTCTGGGGACTGGTCCATGGGTGTGCGTTTCTTCATTTCAATGGGATGCCAAGTGCCCCATCCTTGTGGACTGGTCAGCCTGTATCTGGTTCTGGTGGAGGAGACGAAGGGGTAGGGAGAGTTCCATTTGAGTGAGAATAAAGCCCAGTGGAGCAGGGCCTGATTGTGCTGGTTATATCTGTTTGTCCCCCCACCCCCCACCATCCACTCTCTGTCCTTCTTTACACTGCCCTGTGCCCTGGGAAGCTGACCTTGGTGGGCTGCATTGACGAGGGTCCTTTGCCCTCTGGTGTCTAGCTGAGGTTGGCCAATGGGAAGGCAGAGCAGAGATGAGGGTGGAAGGAGAGAGACATTGGGCTACGGTTCCCTCTGCCTTGGTTCCCTCGCCCACGAGCCCACAGAGGCATGGTGCTTCTGCTGACTGGGAGCTCTGCCCTGGCACTCTCTCCAGGTTCTTGCGAACACTCTGTCCCTCCAGGAACAGCAGTGGTAATGGCTCCCCAGTTAGCTCCCTGAGGTTTCATCATTCCTTGTTGTTCCCTTATTCCTGCCCACACCTCTGTAAACAGTCCCTATACTAGACTCTCAATTCCCCCTACAAATGGGCATTTGTTTCCCCTGGTTGTTTTCTGGGGCCCCACTCCCTCATGTTCTTGCACCCATCTTACCTGGTACCCGGTAGGGACCACGCATCTAATTGCCAGGGGGCTATGAGGTACAGGATCAGAGGAGAGGTTAGGGGAATATTTTCTATTAAATCCAAATATGATCACCTATACCTGAGGTTTCTGTTTTTAATGAAATAAACCAACAAACCAAACAACGCCCTTTTGGGTTAGGAGTTGGGGGGACATCTTGAGAAAGGGGCTCAGCATCCCTCTCTGGTTTCTCTCGTGGGCAGGGCTGGCTCTGGCTGCCACTGCTTCCCTGGCCGCCTGACCTCAAGCCCCAGGTAGCTGGTCAAACTCTGACGTCTTCAGAAGAAATGGCCCGGTGCACAGGCACTGCGGCTCCTGATGCTGATCGGAGGCCTGTCAGGCGTCTGCGCTCATTCTTCCTTCCTTCTTTAGAGGCCTTCGTGGCCCTGGTGGGTTGATGAGCACAGCCTCTCTCAAGTTGAAATAGCTTTTCATGGAGCACCCTGGAGCTGGGCAGCCAGCACGGCCGAGGGGAGGTCGTGGAGTTGCCTGACATAGTTGGGATAGAGGGAGAGGATGATACGACTTGTGGCCAACGTTGGTGTGTACTGCTTTAGAATTTTCAAAGCACTTTAATTAAAGGAACACTTTTGTGCCCCACAAAAGGAGCCTGAAGGGGCTGAGCATTGTTATCCTCACTTTGTAGATGCAGAAAAAAGGCTCTAAGGTCCTCAAGCACCTTGTCTGTAGTCACAGGGCTGGAGAGTGGCAAAGGCAGGACTGAGACCCAGGCCATCTGACCCTGTGTCCATCTGATGCCCTTTCTGCTCTGCTGTCTCTGAAGGTGCAGGCAGGGTTGGGGTCTATCTCTGGGATTGTGAGCTGCAGATGGAAAAGCTGGACCCAACTCCAGTCTTCCTGTTCCACCCGGAGGAGAGAGCACAGGCCGTCCTGAGTCCTCCCTGGGAGCTCTGGTCCCTGCATGCCCTCAAGGGCCATCCCTCCTGTTCCTCCTGCTTCTAGTGGCCTGACACTGCTCTTCTGTCCTTGTTTTTTAGAAGTGGAGCTGCCCCTGAAGAAGGATGGGTTCACCTCAGAGAGCACAACCCTGGAAGCCTTGCTCCGCGGGGAGGGGGTTGAGAAGAAGGTGGATGCCAGAGAGGAGGAGAGCATCCAGGAAATACAGGTATTTCTGTGCCCGCTGGGACACCCCCAGAGCATCACCACTGTGCTTCCAGAACTCCAGCAGTGGCTCAGGTCCTCCTCTCCAGGGCTAGGCCTGAGACTCAAACTGCCTCGGGGCACCGTTGCCGGGAAACTGGAAAATTCTTTTTGGATTTAACCTGTCTCCAGAAGTCATTGTTCCTCCTTGATCTCCCCATTTATCCATTCAAAATGTAGTTTTTGAGCCTGTTGTGTAGCAGGTACCATGCTAGGTCCTGAGGGTACAATGGTGAGAAAAACTCAACAGTGAGATGGATTCCTCACCCCCGTGGAGCAGACAGTCCATAGTCCAGAAACGTCGGGGTTGTCTGCACTGGCTAGTCCCGAGGAAGTCCCTGCCTGCCCTCCACCTCACGCCCCGTCCTCGGCTCTAGCTCACCAGTCGTGTCAGTCCTTTCACAGCACAACTCACGCCTCCTTCAAGGCCAGGGTAGAAGTCACCTTGCAGGTGGGGTTGGTGGCTCCTGTCCCTGTGTATTCACCACCCTCTGTGCACAGCACTGCTAAGGCTGTCACACGCAGGGTCACCGTGCAGGAGTATGATGGTGTGCTCTGACCATTTCTTATTTATTCATTTTGAATCCCCATTTTCCAATACCATGGTTGGCACAGAGTATTTTAATAATATTAATTAATACAAATATTACAGAAGAGTTTTTAATAATTAAATATAAATTATTAAAATTAAATTACATTTGTTAAATTTATATTTTATATTAAATTTTATATTTTATGTTATACATATTATATATTATAGTATTAAGTATTTATTAATTTTACATCCAATTTAATATTTATATATTAATTTATTAGCATTATAATCGCATTAATAACAGTTAGATTGTTGGTTTGCTTCATAAGTGTCATCGAGTCAGGGACCATGCCGTTGTGTTCACCATTGCGTTCTCGGGGACTTGCGTGTGCCCACCCAGCAGAGTTGGGTCTCAGTAAAGATGTTGACTGAATCAGTGAATCCGGCCTCCTTCTCTGCCATTCCTGTGTTCAGATAAACGCTGGAGTGTTTTGCATTTAGTTGTCATAACACGGCTAGTATTTGTTCCCCCCTCTACTTCCCGTGAGCTAGAGCCCTAGTAAAGATCCATATTGACCGTAACCTTTGTGTCTCTAACACACCTTGGAGTCATCTTCCACTCCTGTCTGCCGCACGCACCCAACATCCAGTACATCAGGAAGCCTGTCGACTATGCCCATAACAGATGTCCAGAGCGTAGCCCCGTCTCACCACATCCGCCGGCTACCCCGGTCCCAGCCACCCTCATCTCCTGTCGGAGCTGTTCTGATTGCTTTCTGAATGGGCCCCCTGCTAATGGTTGAGAGGGAGCCTTTTAAAATACAAGTTGGATCCTGTCATTCCTGGGCTCAAAATCGTGCACCGGCCCTGTTCTCCCAGAGCAGACGTCAAGGGCCTCTTACCTCTCTGACTCGGCTGCTTCCTCTTTTCCTGGCTCCCTGGGCTCCAGGCACACCGACCTGATTGCTGCTCCTAGAACACACCAGCACGCTCCTGTCTCGGGCTTTGCTCCTGCTGTTTCCTCTGCCTGCAGAGTCCTCTCCCCAGACACCTGCTCGGCTGTCACCCTCACCTCCTTCAAGATTTGCTCCTATCTCTTCTCTCTGAAGTTAACCCAGACCACTGTATGTAACACCACATCCTGTGCCCTCCCCACCCCACACTCCTGATTCTCACTCTGCTTTCCTTTTCTTTCCCACAGCTCTTACCACCATATAACATACCTTGTAATGTACTTATTTATTATGTTATTGTTTATTTCTGTTTTCTTCCAATAGAATGTAAACTCCTCAAGGGCAGGATTCTCCGTCTACCTTGCTCACTAGTATATCTCAAGCGCCCAAACAGAGCCTGGCCCTTAGTAGGTACACAATAAATACTTATTGAATGGATGCACGAGTGAACGGATTCCTCCGAGATGCCATGTCCCCAGGCCTTCCCTCTCCACACGTCCTACTTTGCTGGCTGGCCCTTCATCCTGAAACAAAGCTTTGCTTGTGCCACTCCCTTGCTAAAAAACTTAGCGAAAACACTTTTGTTTCCTACTAAATAAATCCCAAATGATGAATGTGACCTTCTTGGGCCTCTTCACTCTGCTCCTAACCTGGTTTTCAGCCTTATTTCCTATGCTCCTTCACCCAATCTGTTCTTCAGCCTCCTTCCCTCCGTGCCTTTGTTCGTGCTGTGCCCTTGATCTGGCGTACCTTTTCTTCTATCTCCGTGTATACAAATTCCACTCATCTTTTAGGCTCAGCCCCAGTGCCACCTTCTCCAGGAAGCCTTTCTTGATTCCCCCACGTCCAGAGGCATCTTTTCTTGCCTCTGGCATTTAGGATATCTAGTGATTTTTTTTTGCTCTTCATGTATTACCCCCCAGTTTTGGACTTGCAGATCTTTGAAGTCAACATCTGTCACATCTGTATTTCCCATTAGAGTATGTCTTGCTCAGTTAGTGTAATGGGACTGAATCAGTGAATGGGACAGACCCATTGTCCAGAAGCCTTGAAGCTCTAGTGACAGGTAGCCCTTTTCTTTTAAAGCTGGTGGTGGGTTCGAGTTCTTCTCAGGCAGCATTGGGCCAGTATATGGGTTGTCATTGTTGAATCGTCATCATTACCATCATCCCTGATGTAAACTGTGTGTCTACTGTATGCAGAGCATGGGGCTGCCATCTACTGTGATAGAAGCCAAAACTGGGACCATAAGCCAAATGAGTTTATGTGTTTTTATTAGCTTTGATTATTAAAATAAAGTACCTATGTAGTAAATGGACTGTTTTGTTCCTTTTTTTCATTCATTCATTCAACCAAAGTTTATTGAGTGCCTCCTCTGAGCAGGCACTGTGCTGGGTCCTGGGAAATAGAGAAACAGAGAGAGACCTGTCCCCTCTGCTCATACTTATATTCCAGTGTGACCTACAGACAGAAAGCAAGTAAACAAACAAAATAATTGCATTTCAGGATAAGTGCCATGCAAAGGACAGAGTATGAAGATTCAGTATAAGAGGACGGTTGGATTCTAGGTAGTGTCCTAAGGGAGATAAGGGATTTAACCTCAGTCTTAAGGGATGAGAAGGAGCCAGCAAAGTGAGGATCCCAGGGAAGGGCTTTCCGGGCAAAGGAAGAGTGTGCTTGAAGGCCTCAAGGTAGGTTTGAGCTCATTGTGTTGAAAGAACAGACAGAAGGCCAGTGTGGCTGGAGCCTGGTGCCAGGAGAGAAGGGCCTAGGATGGAGTTGGAGGGGTGGGCGAGGCCAGACCATTCAGGTCTCTCAGGACATGGAAGAGGCTCTTGATTTCATGGGAAATGAAAAAGGAACCCATTTGGAGGTTTTTAATCAGGGCAGTGAATTTGTGTGTCGTCAGGATCCCTCTGGCTGCTGCGTGGAGAGGATACTGGATGCAGGGCCAACAGTGGAAGGAGGGGAATCGGTTAGGAGATTTTTGCAGTCTTCCAGGCCAGAGATATTGGAATCTTTAAAAAGGAATTCCTTCTTCTTTTTTTTAAAACACAACCACAAACCATTGTTATCATCACCATGAAAACTGTTTAGAGTAACAGGGAGAAAAGTTATTTTAAAATGTGTTTATTTTCCAGATAACGTCCTTGGACAGAGGATGGAAGTGTGTTACTGGGGGATCGGCTGCATCTCTAGTTGCACACCCCTGCCCTTCAGTCCTTATACCGGATGCCCCCACTGCTGCCTGAGCCCTGAATACGACCTTTGTTTGTTAGGAACTCCTCACTCCTCCTGAGTTCTGTAGAGGCTTCTGGTGTCGGGCCGTGTTGCAGGAAACGTAAACACTGGGGCGACTGGTGTCACATCTGAGGCCTGGGGCACAGGCTAGGGGTTCTAGAGACACAGGGAAGTTGGTGAGGAGAGGGAGGAAGAAGCAGTTTGCTCCCGGACATTGAGGCCATATGGCACTTCTGGGGACTAGCCGAGCTGCTTTCACTAGTCTTTCACCTTCCAACCCAGAGTCCATATTGCAGGTAATAAATACCTTCTTAATAAAAAATGATAGTGGTGTCAGAATTGTGCTGAGATGCCAGAGGCAATGACCTTTAAATTCGAGGCACTTGGAACTTACCATGACTTCAAGACCCGGAAAGTTTGCAAGATGGCTGTACGGACAGCAGCAACAGTTGTAATGACGATACCTCGTATTTGTACTACTTTTCACTGAAGGCTGCAGGGCATTTGGTGTGTCCTTGTCTTGCTTGACTTTCACCCGTGTTCCCACTTAGAGTTCAGGAAGCCAAGATGCAGGGGGGTGAAGAGGCTTGCTCTGGGCCTGGGCCAACGTTTCCTAGCTGTAGGCCAGAGGCCGTGTCCGGCAGACAATGCTACTTTTTTGTCAGGTGGCTAAGGTTGGCCCAGAGACGTGTAAGCGCTGTCAGCTGTTGGCTTCCCAAGTAAACCTAGTAGAGAAGCCAGAGAAGAATTTGCTAGACCTGTTTTGAGTTCTCTGGGAGGATTTGGTAATTAGTGGTATCCTGACCCCTGTGATGAGGTAGAGCTCTCTGACAAGAAGGCAGTGGGAGAAGGTCACTGGTCACTCACTCCTGGGCTTCCCGCTTGGAGGACAGGCCAAGGGCATTATCCAGAATGCCACGTGAACCCTGATGGTGACACCAGACTTCAGCGCAGTACCTGCTGCTTTCTAAGCCTTTTCATAGCTGAGTGCTTGTCACAGCATCTTGTCATCACCACAAGGACGAGCGCATGCTGTTATCCTGTGTAACATGGTACCCGCCAACCTTTCTAGCCTCATCTTAAGCCAATCTCTCCCTGAGCCACTGAGCTCTGGTCATACTGGCCACTTTCTGCTCCCTGGACAAGCCATGTTCCTCTCCCTGCCTCAGGGAGTTTGCTCATGCTGTTCCCTCTCTTTAGAATACTTTCCCTCCCTCCTCTCTGTCTCCATTCCAAGGCTAGGCTTTTCTTTCCTTTATATCTCAACTCCTTTAGGTCACTTCCGCGGGGAAGCCTTACCTGACCCTCAGATTAGGTAAAACTCCCTTCTAACACCCTCTCGTAGCAGCTTGATCTTGCCTGTCACTGTTTTTCTAGCAGTTGTAATTATATGGTTATGTATGTTGTTTAAATGTTTCCTCCCTCACTAGACTGTAAAGTCCGTTTGGGGCCAGGACTGGAGCCATTTTGTGGCTTGTCTAGCATAGCACCTATTATGTAGTCAGCACTAGACAAATGTTTGTTGGTTGAATGAATGAATGAATTCCTATTTTATAATTGGAACAACAGGCATGAAGAGATGATGACTCACCCATGGTCACACAGTGAGCCCCTGAAATGGAGTCCAGTGAGCTCCATGCCCCTTCTCCTTCCCCCACTCCCACTCTGGGGGCCTGGGTCCTCTGCCACAGTCTCTCATCCCTCCCCTAAAGGGAGTGAAGTGCTCAGGTTCCTACAGGAAGGCTATGCCATAACACACCTTGATCTTCAGACACAGGGCTGAGAACCAATGGGAAACTCCGGGCTGATGAATCTGATCTTGCTTTGGTCAAGGATTCACTGTACGATGTTGAGCTGCCACAACTTTTCAGCCTCAGTTTATTCACCTGTAAAATGGAAATTGGGTTCTCATCTGCAGTGTGGCTCACAGGGCTGTGGGAGAGAGAGAATTAAATTCATGATCTTTAAGCTCCATTACAGCTAATGTGCTGTAATATAAATCCATTTTTCATAAAAAAATAATAATAGGTACTTATGAACAACACATTCATGTCAAATTCTGGTCAGATGAACAGGAGGTTACTTGTTTTCATCCAACAGGGCAGGATTCCGGAATGGCAGGGAAAGGAGAAACATACTTTCATATATCTGAGGTGGCCCTTTAGGAACAAAAGGAAAATTACGTTAAAGAAAGTAAGTTTTGACAAAATATGTTGGACCCACATAGAGAAGTGTCCCTACCAGAGTATTCTCTTTTTAGAAAACTCTTCTTGAGTGAAAAGAGTTGGAAAAAGTCAGTGTTTTGGGAGGACTTGGCTGGAAGGGGCCCGACGGTTTGAGGGAGGGTTGGTACCCTCAAGAGCATCTTGGAGGCCCTGCTTCCTAATCAATGGCAGCATCTTCATTTTGTTAAAACATAGAAACAAAACAGAACAGTCCCAAACTACCCTCTGATGGTTTTCTCCTTTGCATTTTATTTCTCAATCCTATTCATTTTCTTGTCATTTCAGAGGGTTTTGGAAAATGATGAAAACGTAGAAGAAGGAAATGAAGAAGAGGATTTAGAAGAAGATATTCCCAAGCGAAAGAATAGGACCAGAGGACGGGTAAGCTGGGATGCTGTGAGGGAGGCAAGAGGTCAGGGAGGCCGAGGCCACACAAATAACTGATCCCCAGACTCAAAGTCGCCCTGTGATCAGATAGAGATCCTATCTGCGGTCTTGCAGACTATTTGGAGAGGACAACTCCAAAAGAGCTCTGATCCCAGGTGATAGCGTGCAAGAATTGAGAGCTGGCAAGAGGGTGAAGAGGAGGCAGAGGGTGCCCCAAGGGGATGGTGAGGGTCCTGGAAAGGTTGGGCGTGGGATCAGGGTGAGGGTGGAAGATGAAGATAATGTGACTGTTGTCCCCATTACTCGGTCATAAAAGAAGGCTTCAAGTTTCCTGTCTCTGGGGCTGCCCCAGAATGACAGGGTCAGGACACCTGCTTTGGGGTGCACTTCACTAGGCAGAGAGTAGGAGCAAGCTGGGAGAGCACGGGGACCATAGCTGATGGTTCCCAGGTGGGGGTAGCATGGGTTTTGGAGGCCCGTGGGCCTCGAATGTGGCAAGAAAGGGCCAGAAGCCTGGAATGGCAGAGGGAAAATCTATGGTGGAAGGAATAAAAATATAAGAGTGACCTTTGAGAGAAGGGAGCCTAACCTGAGTGGTACTCTCAGGTATTCAGGTGGGTCCCCCAGAGTCCTCACGTTCAAGCCCAAAGGGGCTTTCCATGGTCACCTTCAGGGGTCTGCAAGGACATCTGACAATAACCAGTTGGGGTGGCACCTCGGGGTGGACTGCTACCTTCCATCTAAGAATTAACTCTCTTAGGCCCATCCGGCTCCTCCAGGCTCTAGGCAGACCCTTACCCTCCCACGACAAGAGGCTGGTCCTGGGTTCCCTGTGGGTTTGGGTCTAGCGATAATTATGGCAAGCTTCTCTATACATCAGAATGTATAGTATACATCAGAATCACTGGCAGAGCCTATTGAAATGCAAACTCCTGGGACCTACTCCCAGAAGTTCTGATTTAGGAGGTCTGAGTAGTGTCTGAAAAGCTGTATTATAAGCAGGTTCCTAGGTACCTGGGGCAAGTAAGTGGTCCAGTGTGCCCACACTGAGCTAAGATGCTCCAACCTGTTGACAAGAGCTGGAATTTCTCAGTCTGGGCAGGGCAGCCCTCTGATGCTGCACACCTTGTATAGTTGCCACCCAGCTTCAACAGTGATCAATGTGGTGACTGTCTTGTTTTATCCATTCTTTACGCCCACTTTTTGTTGGTTTGTGTTTGTTTGATTTTTTGGTGTGTGGAATGTTTGAAACCAAGTTCTAGACGTTGTCATTTAACCTGCACAAACTTCAGTGTATATCTCTAACGGATATCATACCCAATAAAAAGAACAACTTTTCTAATCTCTACTACCCAGACCCTGCTCATTTTCCCAAAAATACCTCTTTTCAGTTGGTTTATTTGAAATCTAAGCCTCTTGTATTCTATAACATACCTCTTTCTTGCTACACCCTACCACACACATATTTTTTTCTCCATGCCATTTATTTGTTGAAGAACTTGGGCGATTGGTCTTATGGAATTTCTCACATTCTAGATTTGGTGGACTGGTGGTATTTAATGTGTTCCTCTATTCTCTTTATTTCACCAAAACTGGTGGATTGATTAGAGACTTGATATTTGTGTGTGTGTGTAAATATGTTTTTGATGGGGGCAAGTATCTTTCCTGGGTGGTGATGTGTGCTTCTTCTTGTGTCACATTAGGAGGCACATGTTGACCAGTTGTTCTGCTTTCGGTGGTGGTAAAGTTGATCAGTGGATTTGGGTGTTGTCAGCCTGATCTCTCCTTATAAAGTTCCCCATCAAGTCTTCATCTAATTGTTTCAGCAGCCATTGATGAACTTGCCTAGACCCATGACTTCACTGGGGGTTACAAAATTATAAATATCTAATTCCATCATTAAAGGAGGCTTTAGAATGTGGAATTTCTGGGCCTTTTGTGGACTTGAAGAGCTGTATACCTTCAGGCCTGCTTCCATCACTTTTCTCACCTCAAATCACACTTACTTGAGTAGATTGTGCAGAATGGTCCTCTTCACATCTTCTCCACTCCCAATCTAAATCTGGACGATTGAACTAACAGTCAGCAAATATGAATTGAGTGTCTTCTCTAAGAATACCAGCAGTAGTGACAGCAGCCATTTATATTTACTGTGTACTCACCATACACCAGGCAATGTGATGAGGCTTGTTATGATAAGAGCTACCGTATAGAGAGTGATAGCTATTTATACTGCATTCTCTATTTCTGCACTGTCTGTTATGGCAGCCACTGGCCACATGTGGCTACTGAGCCCTTGGAATGTTGCTAGTCCAAATTGAAATGTGCTGTAAATGTAGAATACTAGATTTTGAAGACTTGGTACGAAAAGAGTGCAGACATCTCATTCATATTTTTTATATTGATTGCATATTGAAATGATAATATTTTGAATACATTGGGTTAAATAAAATATTATTAAAATTAATTGCATGTTTCTCTTTTTACTTTTTTTTTAATGTGGCTACTGTAAAATCTAAAATGACGTGTGGCTCACATTATATTTCTATTGGCCAGCATTGCTTCTTTCATTCCCATAAATTGGTATTATTACTCCCAGAGAGGTTAAGCAATTTGCTCAAGGTCATCCAGCCTAGTAAAGAAGAAGCCCGATTTGAACACAGGTCTGTGCTTTTTCCACTGAGTCGTGCCTGGTCCAGTGCCCAGCGTGTAGCCAATGACCAGTTTGTTGAATGAATGAATGAATAATGGAAAAAGAAAGAAAAGTCATATTTCAACTTCATGGGAGCTGAGAGAAGGCCCGAACACGGTGAGGGGCCTGGATGGGGCCTAGACCAGCTTCAAGCCCACCTGATGCTGACCAAGGGGCAGTTGAATGGCTCTACATTGTGCAGTGACATTGCGGACATGCCACCCATGGTGGGAGCCGTGGAAGGACCTGGAAGAGTGTGGGTGAGCCTGCCTGTACTAGAATAAGTGTGTGAAGCTGCTTCACCCATAGCCTCAATTAACCCACCCTCTAAAGTGGCATATTCAAGCTGCTGCTGGCTCCTGGAGGACCATCACTCCTATTTCTGTTGACAGGACTGAGAGGCAGTCTAAGGCCCTACACCTCAATGTGTGGTCCCTGGATGTGTAGCCGCAGTATCACCTGGGAGCTTGTTAGAAATGTGGGACCCCAGACTTCACCCTAGATGGACTGAATTAGAGTCTGCACTTTAACAAGACCCCCAGGTGCTTTCTGTGCTCATTGAAGAAGTCAGGGCTAAGGTAGTGATTATACAAACAGCCTCTGCCTTGTTTGAACTGTGAGTTCAAATCCCAGCTCCGCCACTTACTAGACTTTGGGTGAATTATGTAACCTCTGTTGTTACATAATTGGCCAAATTATATAAGTTCTCTGGGCCTCAGTTTCTTCATCATTAAAATGGGGATAATAATACACAGCCAATTTTGAGTGCTTAATAAAGGCTAGATATTGTTAGGAGGAGACAAGCAAAGAGAACAACTGTTGGAGCTTTGACAATGGAGATTCCCTGAGGGGTGAGGGAAATTCAGACCCAACAATTAATAAATGTTCTATGGCAAATTTAGCCCAAGAAATCAAAGCTGTTTAAAATTCATGAAATTCCTCAGTCATTCCTGTGAGTATTATTAATCAATCCATCAGTCAATCAGTGAGTATTTATTGATGCGCTGTGGTGTAGTCGGGTGCTTCTCAGACTTTAATGTGCACGTGAAGCACCTGGTGACCTTGTTAAAGTGCACATTCTGATGCTGTTGGTCTGGGAGGTGGGGACTGAGATCTTGCCTGGTTAACAAGCTCCCGGATGATGCCAGTGCTGCTGGTCTGAGGACCACACTTTAAAGAACAAGAGTGTAGAGCAGTGGTTCTCAATTTTTGATCTCAGGAATTCTTTACTTAAAAGTTACTGAGAGGCCCAAAAGCTGTTGTTCTGGTGGGTTATAACTAGTGATATTTACTGTATTAGAAATTAAAACAGAAAAACTGTTAAGCTTAAGAATACACGAGCACACAGTGTGATGACGTCAGCATGTCATGTAGCTTCTGGAAAACTCCATTGTGCACTTGTGAGAGAATGAGAGAGGACATTTCAGATAACGTTTTAGTACTATTATGAAGATAGTTTTGACATTGCAGACCCCCTGAAAGGATCCCTGGACCACTATTTGAGAACAACTGGTATAGAGGAACTAGCTCTCTGCTTGGGACTGAGTCTGTCCTAGTTGAGGGTCTTTAAGTTTTGGGAAACTCAATGGCTTAAGCAAAAATTGGAAGTATTTGACAAGCTGCTGGGCCAATGCCCCAAATTTGAGCAATTTTTGAAGATTCAGACCTCAAGAAGGAGAAGAAAATGGAAGGGATTTAGGGTTGGGAAAAAGTAAGGAACCCAGGCAGCTTCTAGCCTCCACTTCTCCTTCCTTCGTTCTTCTCTTACAAGACTGTCTTTCCTGCTTCTCTGTGCACATGGTCCCACAGCTGCTGAATTTATGGGTCCCCAGTTCAAGTGACCTGTACTAACTAGAGTCACTGTTTCCCAATTCCAAGTCCCTTGGTGGTAGAATCTGATTGGCCCAGCTTGGGTCAGGTGTCTACTCCTGAGCAGCCAGTCAACTGTGGCCAGTGGGGCAAGTGCCGTGTGGTACAATCATGGCTGCCATGGTCCCGCAGCGTGTGAATGGGGAGGTAGAGTGGGGAGGGTTGTTGTCAGAGAGGGAAGAGTGGTTTCTTTTGGACAGTCAGCTTCAAAGTTTTCTATAACAGTGTCTGGAAATCTGGGTCTGCTCCTTCTACTGCCTCTGTAACTGTGGACAAGTCACAAACCCTCTCAGAACCTGTTTCATCAAGTGCCAAATGGGAAACCTAACATTGCTTGGTTTAACTCAGAGGGTATTGTAGGAATGAACTGAGCTAATATGTGGATGCTGTGTGCCCAGCACAGTGCCAAGTGTTGGGGGTTCATAATAAAATGTGAAGTGCCATCTTTGCCCTCAAAGACCTTGGAATTAAATTGAGGAGAAAATACTAATAGCCATGATACAATTAGAAAGCAGCAGTCTTCTGACTGTGCACTAACAAAAGGCAATAAGAGTTTAGAGGAGAGAGAAAGAGATCAACTTGGGCAAAGAGGGGAAATAACGTATTGAACACTTCCTGTAGACACAGTGCTGTCCTCTGTGGTTTCACACACCCTCAGCTCCAGCCTTTTCAGCAACTCTGCAATAAAGGTGTTGCTAGGCCTATTTTTCAGTTGAGAAAATGAATGCTTAGAGAAGTAACTTCTCCAAAGAAACATAGCTGGTGTAAGACACATAGCTGGTGTTTAAATGTATGTCTGTCTGACTTTAAAGCTGATGCTCTTTTTACACCTCAATGTGGCAAGAGGAAGATTCTTGGAGGAGTGGGATGTTGGTGGGGCTAAAGCATGGATCAGATGTGGATGGGCAGAGGAGAGGCTGGTCCATGACAGGGCTCAATAAAAACAGTGGCGGACGTAGAATGAGTGTGAGGTGAACCTGATGGGATTGGCACTAGGTTGTCCCTGGATGTGTTGAGTGGGTTTAAGATGGCAGTGACTGAATGGGTAAATGAATGAAGGACCACAGATTCCTGTCCTTCACTCCTTTCATCTCATTGTCCTGGGAGTCATGCAGGGTGGATTGCAGAGGGCAGTGCATGGGTAGAACCCCAGCTGGTGGTTCTTTGAGCAGTTCAGGGGTTAATTGATGAGCTCCTGGATTAAGATGTGAAATAGAAGGGAAATGCAAAACCAAAGATGGCCTTTGAAAGAAGAAACAATAGCACTTGGATATAGAGAATGAATGAGAAGAAGCAAACATGATTGACTTACTGACCGAACAACTGATTGATTGATTCATTTATTCAGCAAACGTTTATTAAGTGCGTCTTAAGTGGCTGGCCCTGTGCCAGGTTCCAAGTATGGTGGTGGCCCAAAGAGACATGTTTTCTATCCTTATGTGGGGAAGACAGAAAACCAACAAGTACACAACACACCTATAACATGTCAGACAATGCTACGTGCTAGGATGAAACGTAGAGCAGGGTAGGAGAAAGAGAATGATGGAGAGGGTATGTGTGGACATCATTGGTCAGGGAGGGCTTCTCTGAGGAGGTGACATTTGAGATGACAAGTAGGATTCCGAGTTTCCAAGCCTGAGATAGTCCAGGAGACTCTAAGTGGTACTGCCACGGGAAGAATCTCATGCTTGTCCCCTCAGTGCCCTATGGCCATGCTCCCCATTTTGCAGTCGAGGAAACTGAGGTGCAGGGAGCGGGGGTAGCACACAGTCCCCCTGCGGGTCAACCCTGCAGAGTGAGATGAAGCCCTGGCTCTCGGCAGGGCCCTCCGCTTCCCGCTGGCTGCTCCCCTAGAAGCCTGCCTGCTTCCAGTTCCACCGTCTCCTCCTCCTCCTCTCCCAGGCGGTATTTTTAGTCTCGCAGAGCCCCTTCCCCGCTCTGCCGTTGCCTCCGACATTCTGCTTGACTTGCTTTCACCTGCTCCAAGGCGGCTGTGACAGGGCTGCGGGCTGCACACGTCAAGCTGTCCCTGGCTTCACGGAGGGGGCGAGGGGGGGTGAGGGCAGCTGAGGGTGACCACCCCGGGCGTGTGGGCAGGCGGGGAGGCCTGTCAGTGCCTGGGGTGACTGCCAGCGCCTCACAGCTCCCTCTTGGGGTCAAGTCTGAGTAATGAGGGCGAGAGGAGGGGGCTGCTGGCTGTCGTGTGTGCAGCGGTGGGGGGCAGGGAGGCAAAGAGAGAGAGAGACCGGTGGGAGGGAGGGAAGGAGGGAGGTGGAATTTTGTGATTTGTTTTGGAGAGAGACAAGCTGAGGAGGTGGCAGAGGTGGTAGCTTGGCAGGTGGTGTTGATTGTGAAGTGTGTGTGTTTTGTGAGAGTGGCTGAGCATCGCGGGCCTGGGGTACAGGCCTTTCCACTGTGAAATCCCCAATGAGTATGTGTGAGAGAGAGAGAGTGTGTGTTTGTGTGTGTGTGTGTGTGTGTGTGTGTGTGTGAGCATCGCAGGCCTTTCGACTGTGAAGTCCCCAGGGCCGCTTTTCCAGGCCAGGCCCCTGGGATTGTCCTCTTTTCCTTGCATCCCAGGTTGCTGCCATGTTTTATTTCTCATCTGCTGCACCTTCCTCTCTGTCCCCAAAGACCCCAGCAGGCCCTTTCCTGGGTTGAGGGTTTACTGCTGCTCGTTACAGGAGAGTGACCTGGAGGAGGCTAGGGTGTTACCCACGTGACTGGTGTGGGACTTACAAAGGTTTAAAAATAAACCTTGCCGAGCTCTTGTAGCCACTGTCCCAGGGCTGCAGAGCTGCCAGCTCCCTCTCTGCCTGGTCTCTTCTATCCTTGGAGGTAGAGCTCATCCCACCCCCACCCCAGGTTATGCTGGCTCTTTCTGGAGATGCACACAGGGTGGTGGTTTCAGGAGTCCAGCCCCCGGGGACGGTGAGGTGTTAAGGTCTCTGTCACTGCTAGAGGCCTAAGGCAGACCACACATGGAGGCCTTAGCTGCAGCCCATTCCTATGCAGTAGCCTGAGCAGCGGGGAGGGGAGCTCCCCACATGCCCGGGCTCATGCCCTGGGCCCCGATGCCAGGCCTGGCTGGCTCTTGAGAGACTGGAGTGAGGGGAGTGTGAACATAGGAGCCTGAGGTCATGACTGCAGTTGTGCTTCTTGCCCCTGTCAGGAATTGCTCCCAACATGCTGGTCATCTGGTCAGCTGAGGAGAGCAGGGCTGGCATCTTCACACGGGGTCAACGAAGCTCGAAGGCTAAGGAGTCAGAGGAAGAGGTCTAGTGGCAACAGTAGAGTACGGGAGTTCGGTAGATACAGGCTTTGCAGTCAGATCATCCCGAGTTGGTGTCCTGGCTCTGCATTTAGTAGCCAAGTGACCCAGGGCAAGCTACTTAACCTCTCTGGTGCCTCAGTCTCCTGATCTGTAAAATGGAGCTAGTAGCAGTGCCTCCCTCTTGGAGCTGTGAAGATTTAATGAGATGATACAGGTGAGTGGCTGAGTGATTTGGAGCAAGTTACCTAACCTCTCTGGGCTTCAGTTTCCTGGCCTGTGAAAGGGGTTGGAATTGGTACAAACATGGTGAAGCTTGAATGAGGAGATGCAGGTGAAGCACTCAGGGCCTCACAGAGTACGTGCTCCAAAACTGTAGTGACAATCAGAGTAACAAGCATCCCGATGCCCCAATGTCTCCCCAGGCCCGTGGCTCTGCAGGTGGCAGGAGGAGGCACGACGCGGCCTCTCAGGAAGACCACGACAAACCTTACGTCTGCGACAGTAAGTACAGGCGATGCCGCCTTCCTGTCCCTGCCCCACCCTTCTGTGTGCATCCCTGGCTGTCAGCCCCCAGCCCCGGGCTCGCAGGCTCCTCCTCTTGGGCCCGCACCCCCAGCTCGCATGCCTCCCCCTCGCCGCTGTCACCACCTCCTCTAGCTGCTGCTCCTGGCCTGCACTTCTGCGTGAGGGAGAGCAGGCTGGGCAGGCCTCCCCTCTTCACTCCCCCGTCTGGCAGCGCCCTCCTCTGTGGCTTTCCTCCAGCTCTCTCTCTTTCCCTCTCTCTGGGATTCATCCTCTCTTTCTTTCTCTATTTCAGAGAGTTACAAACAAAAGCATAACTCAAAATCCTCTGACAAAGGTGCTTAGGCCCTGTGGCTTCTCGTTTGCTTCCCTTTAATTTCCTTCTCTCTCTCTCTCTCTCCTGTCCGAGGTAGGGCACGTTATGAATCTTTCTCTGACGATGACTTAGTTTAGTAAATGGCCCTCGATCCATCTCCAGACTTCCTTGCTGCTTCAGAAACATCTTTTGGACAAGCGACTGCCTGGCTCCTGGGTTTAGGGTCCGCAGACAGAGCTGGGGGGTGCTGAGGGAGAGAGCAGCAGGGAGCAGTGGCAGTGGCTGGACCTCCAGAAACCTTCAGCTTTCCGAGTGATTGCGGTCAGCTCCAGTGAGCTGTTGTCTCTCTCACCTACCCAAGCATTGGGTGGTGGGTCTAAAATCCTGGCCCCAGTTATCTTCTCACTGTATCGGTTGCCATCTGCTCATTTCATGGCAAGGGAGGCCCTCGAAACTGCTCTCCCTAACCATCTTCTCTTCCCGTCTTCTCCTCTCTGAGGACGCAGAGCTCTGCCAAGGGAGAGAAGGGGCTGCAGAGAGAATGGCAGCAAATGACTGAGGCAGGGCCCTGGCACGGTGGTCCCTCTGGCCGCCCCGCCAGTGTCTACAGTCTCCGTGCAAGCAGGGAGAGAGCCGGGGGAGATGGGGCACAGGAAATACGGTGGGGCTGGTGCGTTTTCCTCCCTCTTCACTGGCCTCTTTTGATTGCAAAAAGTTGTTCTGTGCTCGGTGGGGTGACAGCTGGTTGGAGAACATTTTGCTAGAAGAATTCAAACTCCATGACCCCCATTTGGCTGCTTAATACACCGTGCAGATGACACTCCTGAGCCGACTCCTGCAGGTAACATCTCCATCCCAAAGCAATTCCTGTTCAGGATGAGGAGGGAACAGGGCATGGGGTCCAATTCCTCTTGGCGATACCAGGAGGTGCCTGCTTCTGTCTGGGTCTTGCTTCCTGGATGAGGTTCAGTTTTGTTCTGATGCCTAAAAGCCCAAGCATGCTAGCTCTTGGGAGACTGGTTCTGGGCTGGAAAGGGTCCTTCAGACCCCCACAGAGCAGGCTTTCCAGCTGTGCCCCAGCTATCAAGAATGTCAACACCTGCTTTGGAACTGGGGCATTGCCACTCAATTGCTTTAAAGATTTTATTTATTTATTTTTTCCCCCCAAAGCCCCAGTAGATAGTTGTGTGTCATAGCTGCACATCCTTCTAGTTGCTGTATGTGGGACGTGGCCTCAGCATGGCCGGAGAAGCAGCGCGTCGGTGCGAGCCCGGGATCCGAACCCGGGTCGCCAGCAGTGGAGCGCGCTCACTTAACCACCAAGCCACGGGGCCGGCCCTCAATTGCTTTAAAAAAAACTTTATTTTTATGTGATTTTCTGCCACCATAGCCAGTGGGATTACTTTTTGCTCTAGCTCTACAGCTTTCATTGGATTCTCAGCCAATCACAATTCCATATATTCCCAGAAGGGCACACCCATGTGCCCTTCTCCCACCCCTCAGTTCATCTCTTCACTCCTTTGTCTCTGACGGCTGCCTCTGCCTCCTTACGTGTTATCTCCATGAAGCACCCTTTGTGTGTGTCCCTCTCTTGCCTTGCTCCCCTCATTCTGTGCAAAGTGCTTGCGTCACACGCACTCCCCCCAGCTCCTGTGGCTTTGTTGAGGGGCTCTCAATGCTCTTCACCATTTCCTGTTCCACTCCCCACAGAGTCTCTTCCTCCTCCTGTTTACGCTGTGGTGCTTGGGAGGCCTAATCGGGGGCCTGATGTTGGCTTTCTGGAAGTCTCAGTGGCTGATTTCTTGGCTCTGCCCCCACAGGCGCTGCCTCCCTTTTCCTCCCTCGGCGGATCAAGGTCCACCGTAGATTGCCCTTCTCTCTCCTGGCTCTCTTAGGAAATTGTGTGGCAGCTCAGTGATTAATAGACTTTATTTTTATCTGGTGCCCTTCAGACATGTGATCCTTTGGGATAGGAATGACCTTTGGAGAGGTCATGAGGCCCACCCTCCACCCCCGAACTGAGCAAGGAATGCTTTTAATAATCTCTAATGCATCCTAAGTAGAGAGGTGTCTGGTCACCTCCTTGAATGTCCCCAGGGATGCTGTTACCATAAGCTGCCCTTTCTTCCCTGATTCCAACTGTGCTTTGAATGATTGTTTTTCCTTAATAGGAGCTGAAATTTTTCTCTCCTCCAGGCCCCTTTGTCTTTTGCACATCTTTTTCCCAACAAATAGGCACATTCAGCGTTTTGTCTATTATGGAGGCCCTCTGAACATCCCCTTGGATTCTTGGCTTACCCAGGGCCACATCCCATAATTTCTGCAACAGCTTGCTCTGAATTCACTTCCAGGGTTAGAGTTAAGCTCGGGACTCCCATTGGAAGTAGCACCAAGGCCAAGTGGCTCAAAGAGTAGCAGACACATTTCCTTCTTTATTTTACACATCGGCTCTTAACACAACCCATGTCGGTAGAGCATAGAAGTATTTGGCCAGCCCGTTGCGCTGTGCACCATCTCAACAAATTCCCATGTGGCACCTGTCCTGACCCCAGGCTAATGCCTCTCCAGGTGTGTGCTCTTCTCTACTTATGCATTTGATTATTCCTTCTTCCATAAATCACTCTGCATCCAGCCCTATTGAGTCTCAATAAATAGATACAATAATATGTGACTTCAATATACAAGATTCAATAAAGGCAAATTTAAAGACATTGCCCAGTAGTTAAATTTTATTCTCCATAGATTCACAATCCCTGCCATTTTTGTATCATCTGTGGTTTGATTTGCATAATCCCCACTCCATCTTTTGAGTTATTTATGAAAATATTAGGCCACTGTGGACCCCACCACCTCTTTCTGGGTTTATGTGGGGTAGTAATAGCTATTTTTCAGATGCAATTGTATTTAACCCTTCCTGGTATATATTCCTAAATACAGTTGTCCTATTATGTTCTTGGTCCAAGTTTCCCTTTCAAGATGGGTGGTTGAAATATTATCTTAGCTGCTAACTTCAGGTGATAGATGGTTTGCTTGTTGCTTTTCACTCAGCCATTGAATTTATTCCATCTCAGAGAAATATTAAATCATTTGAACATAATTTACTTTTTACCCAATCCATGATGTGTGCGTATAGATGAATACTTCATTTTCCAGGAAGTAACCAATCTCTATTAAATTATCCTGAAAGTTTACCAAGCTTAAGGATTAAAGTTCTGTTTCTTCCCTTTCAATCTCTTGCTAGAGGAAAAGTGTTACCCACAAACAAGGCAACTGAGTCTGCCTTTGTGGGCAAGGCTGTCAGTGTTTGTCCAGGTGTGGACCTGGACCACATGCACAGAGATAACGTAGATGTTTATTAAAATGTGGATTCCCAGGCCTCACCCCAGACCTCCTGTCTCAGAACCACTGGGAGCAGGCCCAGGAACCTGCATTTTTTGAGAGCTCCTAGAGGACAGTTAAGAATATTGACTTTTGAGAATGACTGGTCTACTTCATTCAAATTCGAAGGCTTCTGGCCTCTGACTGCTCAGCCCTTATATTATTCCCTGCTTTTTACATCTGGAAGTTCTAGAGTCTCCAGGAATTCTCCAGGCAGAGTGCCGCTGGCTTGCATCATTGTTTTAGTTGGTCTCTGTAGAATCTTTCCTTTCCAATTCTTTGCGCATTGATATAAAACTCAGCAGTCCCAGATAAAACTCAGCAATCCAGCACTTGACTTTAGTTTACTTAATAGCTTTAAATCCGAATAGTATCATTAGCCCCCTTTTGTAGATGGGATGGTCACTGGAGATAGATGGATGCGTGAGAGCAATCCTTGGGTTTGGGCTATTGGAATGTTTTAAAAATTATTTCAGGAGTAGGCCTCTTCTTTTCCTAACTGCTCCCAACCCTGTGTTTTCTGTTAGCATCACTGGGGCAGACTCCTGATGAGAGATCCACGTTTCCATTTTCTTTGTTCAAAGGGCATCATAGGAAAGGAGCTGGTGGTGATGGGGTGGTACTCAGGGAGTGGGAGAACATTTTGTCTCTAAGCATTAGCCATCTAGGGAGGAGCAAAGCAGCCATCCGCCCTTTTGCTGGGCACAATGGAAGTGATCTATGAAGTTTTTATTTCCTTCCCAGTTTTTAAAAAAAAATTTTGTTAATTTTGATTTTGTTTTACTGTAGAAAGAACACTTAACATGAGATCTACCCTCTTAACAAATTTTTCAGTGTGCAATATTTATCATTGAACATAGGTACAATGTCGTACAGCAGATCTCCGGAGTTTATTCATCTTGCTTGACTGAAACTTTATGCCCGTTGGTTAGCAATTTCCTATCTCCCACTCCCTACCAGCCTCTGGCAACCACCATTCCACTCTTTGATGCTATGAATTTGACTGTTTTAAATACCTCATATAAGTGGAATCATGCAGTATTTGTCTTTTTGTGACTTGCTTGTTTCACTTAGCGTAATGTTCTCAAGCTTCATCCATGTTATTGTATATCGAAGAATTTCCTTCTTTTTTAAGGATGACTAGTATTCCATTGTATGTGTATACCACATTTTCTTTATCAGTTCCTCCATTAATGGACATTTAGGTTGTTTCCACATCTTGAATATTGTGAATAATGCTGTCATGAACATAGGAGAGCTGAGATCTCTTTGAGATCCTGATTTC